AATGTAACTTAAAGAGAAACTTGGATTCAGATTGTGACATTAATGAAAAACGCCTAGGTTTTAATATATGAATGAATCAGACCCTTCTAATATCTGACCAAAAATTTGCCAGAAATATTAGATACACAAACATATTACCTACAAGTTAACTTAGATTTTGTAACTTAGCAAGAGTCAAAAAATATAATTAAAAGGATCAAAGTCCAGTAAAACTAGAATATGATTTTGTACGATTGTAAGGAGGGCATTTTCTGAACACTAGATACCCATGGAAGAGCTTGCCAAGATTCGTAACTTTCCCTTTCCAACTAAGAGCAGCTGTGCTGTGTCTCCCCTGGATTCTTTTAAAGGTTGATTAGCTAGAGCTTGTGCTGTAACCCGTGAAACATGAGCAGGAGTGATCCTTCCGGTTTGTTCATGGAATGCCCCACGCACAATTCTTCCTTTGCTCTCCTGACACTGTGGAGAGCTTAGTGTTAGAGTGAGTGGGAAGAGTGGGAAGCCATGGAAAACTATGTGGAGACCTGCTGTGTATCTGTAACGTCCACTTCATGCTGTGTGTAAGCAAAAGGAAACTAGCCACATTTGTAAAGCTGTGTAATTCGGAGTGGCTATTACAGCAGTCAGAATCACTTAGTGATGCACGAAACGTTGCCAAGGTTAGTGTGCCAGTTACAAGGTGAAGATATGTGGGCCCTGCCTAGCAGGGGGGTGGCTGCAATGAGGAAGGAAGTGTCTCAAGCTGACATCCACTAAGACCTAGACTTTCACCACAGAAGTTGGTGAAACTAGACGTTTTTACAGGTTGGAAAGTGGCTATGCAGTTTGATGATTTTAAATTTCAGAAATATGTGGAAGAGTGACTATTAATGCACACTGATTATTTATAATATTTAGTCTTAGCGGGGCATTTCATATAAAAGAAAAACCCGGCAATAACAGTCTGTTCAAGAGAAAAAGGAAAACAAATGTCAGAGATCAAAGAACTATAGAATTAAGGAGACCACTTCTTAACCACAAATGAATTGACCTAAAACTTTTAACAGGACCGTGATTTCCATATGTATGTGTTGTTATTCTTCCTCCCTCACTACCCACCCCTTATCTCCCTCTGTCTGGTTCCCACTCTTTGTCCAAAAAGTTCCCCTTCTCCTTTCATATCTTTTAGTGCCATCATGTTCTTTTTTTACCCCTCTCTTAATATGTCTTTTCCTAGTCCCCATTCTAATTTAGTGACACACGCACACACACCCATACAGCCACACAAATGTATACTATCAAACTGAATTTCTACATATGTGTACTAAGTAAGCCTGTAAGAAAAATTACTTTGCTGTTGAGTTTTGCAGCACATTGTGAAATTACAAACACCTTCTCGTGGAAGATGATCCGACAAGCCTTCTGGTCAGCCTATTCTTCTTCTGCTATTGCTGTTAAAACAGCAGTTCTCAACTCACAGGCCATGACACCTTTGAGGGGTCAAACAACCTTTCAAAGAGGTCTATTAAGGTCATTAGAAAACACAGATATCTAATTATCATTCATAATAGTAGCAAAATAACATTAATAAAGTAGCAATGAAAATTTATGGTTTGGGGTTACCACAACATAAGAAACTATATTAAAAGGTCGCAACTTTAGGAAGATTGAGAACCAGTGCTCTAGAGGATAATTGATAAGAAGGAGTGACTGGACAGGCTAGGTACCCCTTTACATTAACTTCTCACATTTTATACCTCTTCATCTTGCATATATTTATTAACCTATCTTCAATTTAGCTTTCTCACTTGAAAAAAGCCATGCCGTCCATACCAAACTTATTTCATAGGGCTCGTGACTCAGGCAAACTTCTTAGGGCAGCAATTAGCACATAGAAAACATTTAATGAAAGTCAGCCACTGCACAAGCATTTGTTGTAGTATTTGTAGTAATTTTGTAATTATTTGGAGTTCATCTCCTGGTAAATCAATGTTCTAGGCTGAAATTGTTATATATTAAGACAGTACAATCTAACAGACAATGAATCAATGATAAAAGTGATATTTGAGTAATTCTACATGCTGGATAGCAGAACTTTCTGATATATTCTTTTAGGAAATGCAAAGAGCTTCATTCCATGTAAAATGAGGCATCTAAATAATAATAACTTGGTGAAACCTTCTAGGCAATAAAGCACTTACAATTAAAATGGCAGTTTTAGCAACGAGGATACTCATAGACACTGAAAAATATTGTAACATTGTTATAGAAGTTAGGATTTTTAAACGTCATCTCTTCATATCAAAATGGGCCATTTTTATCTCTCCTTTTAGATTAGTCAATTACGACACATGCTGAAATGCAGGTCTGTCTGTTTGGCCATCTAGAAAGTTAGATGAGGAAATCACATGATTTCTGTTAGACTTGTAAATAAATGATGTTATGTAACCCTTGGGATCAAATATTTACCTTTAGGATATTTAAAACATGCTTGTGTTTATATCTAATAAAACAAGAAGAAGCCAGGCATTGGTGGTACATGCCTTTAATCCCAGGACTCAGGAGGCAGAGGCAGGAGGATCACTGTGAGTTCAAGGCCAGCCTGGTCTAAAAGAGTTCCAGGACAGGTTCCAAAGCTACAGAGAAACCCTGTCTCATAAAAAAAAAAAGAAAGAAAGAAAGAAAAGGGAAAAAATGAAGGCGATGCACTGTCCTAAGATTGTGAAATAAGATGAGACAACAGTTCCCTGTGGATTATCTGAGCCTCATTATAAAGAATTGTTTTTACTGAGGGATAACAGACACTTTAGAGGTTTTTGAAAATTAGTGCCTCTTCTCTTCTCCCAGACACTTAATAGTCTGTGATAGGAGAACCATGGATGGTTCAAGTTCCAGTGTATAATGTTGAATGATGGAGTATAATTTAGACCAAAATAATTTTATACATAAAGATGTTAACATCAAAATTTAGGAGGAAGTTAATGTGATGGGTGATTTTATGTCTCGCCTGAGTCATGGGGTACTCAGAAATCTGGGTAAATATTGTAGGAAGATGTTTTTTGGATGATATTAATATTCAGATCAATAGGCGGAGTGCAGCAGCTCATCCTGTTTCCTGCGAATGAACCTCATCCAATCAGGTAAATGCTGGATATGCAAAAGTTTGCCCTCCTCCCCCTTGAGTGCTTACAGACTCAAACTCACTGACCTTTCTTGGGACTGGAGTCATCTTTAGATAGGAATTACTCATTACTTCACCTGGGTCTTCCTCAGTTGCCTGACTTACCCTGCAGATTAAACGATAGTTATATAGACCAACTCCTAATAATCACCCTATTTCCGTATCAGTCCTGTTTCTTAATGCAACAGGACTAATGCAGATGTTGGTACTATGACTTAATGTGCTGGTATAACAAATACTAAAAAACACAGCTGAGTGATGTATGGATGAGTTTGAGATGCACACTTGAAAAGTCCTGAATGGCTGAGTGGTAAGATTTCCAGATGTGACAGATGTTGTGGGACAAGTCCTGCCTGGAAACAAGGAAGATGTGGTTCAAAAGGAAAGGCGATTCTTATTGTGAACTGGAAAGGAGGTTGCTGGAAGTGTATTCTAGTATTTTGTAGAAACAACAACATGTGAATTGTGACACTGGATATTTACCTGAGGTGATTTCCAAGCAGGGCTGGGCATGAAGGCTATGGTCTTAACTATGAGTGGTAATATATGATGGGAGGTTAAAGGAAAGGGATCGTAAACCAGAAACCAATAAAAACTTAAAGACTAGAAAAAAATTTCACTCTGACCTTATCCTAAAGCAAGAAAACTTGTAAAAGAGTGCCAAGGGTGTGGCTTGAAGCCATCCATAAGGAAGTTACTCAGTGTGGAGTTCACCAGGTCAAGTCCACAATGAGTAGGGATAGAAATGGTATTATCCACACAGAGGCCATATTTTAGAGGAAACACAGATAAGATGAAGGAAGGCTGTTTGTAAGTTTACAAGACTGGACCATAGAACTATTTGTCTATGAATGAATATGCAGGTAAGTCCCCAAGATGATCCAGAGGTAATCAGGACTGCGTCTAATCAGGCTCCCAGGAGACAAGGCTGTTTCCCATTCAGTTGCAGAGGGTGAGCCCTGCTTCTTACTTTTAGTAACCCCTATTACCCACACAAAGAGCCAAATGGGCCTTTTATGGGTGAAGCAATTGCAAAATGTTCTCACAGGTTCTTTGGACAAAGCCAATGATGTAGGTCACCATTCATGGCCTGAAGGGAACAGTGGGCCCAGCAGACTGATAATCCAACCAAGAGAAGTATTCCCAAACCTAACAGTGGAATTTGCCTTGCTAAGCTTTTGTGCTAACTGGGTTCCTACCTGTCCTATGCTTTTATCTCTATTGTTCTTTGAAGTCACATTTCTTGTCCAGTAGAAATAGCAATGTAAGAACTCTGGGAGATAATTTCATTTTTATTTATAGCTGAATAAAGTTTCATTGTTTATATTTAAACAAACAACCAAAAAAGAATTGTAGGAAAGAAGTTTTGCCTCGAGTTGGGTCCTGCCTTCAGTCTCCCTGGAGGTGAGTTAGGCATTTCAGTGACACTTGGGACTTGAAATTGATGTTGAACTGAATTAAAGCTTTTGGTGCTGGTGTATCCGGTGGAAGGAATTTGTGTATGTGGACGACACAGTCTACAGAGGAGCAGAGCTTATGGAGGAGACTGTTTCTCTCTTAATATGTTGAAGCCATGACCTCTAATGTAAGTGCTTTTGGAGATACCTTTAGGGTGGTAGTTAAGGTTAAATCATTATAAAAAAGAGGAAAAGATACCAGATACATTCTCCCCTCTCTTTCTGTTTCTTAGTTCCTTCCACTTTTCCTTCCTTTGTCTCTTCCTCTCTGCTTCCCCGCTCTTCTCTTCTGTCCCTCCTATAAAAGAGGCTACACTGAGAAGGTAACTGTCCAGTTTCATGTTGACAGGAATGCTCATGATCGATGTATGTTTTTTTTCCAGGTTCCTCAGCAGTACAGACCCCTCAAATGGTTGTATATGCTACCTTTACACCACTCTATTTGTTTGAAAACAAGATCTTTACGTTAGAGAAGATGGTAAGACTTCAAAACCAAGAGATATCATGTCCTTATGTGGGTGGAGGGGACGTACATGCTCCTGTACAAGGGGCTGGAACATCCAAATTATCTCAATTGTTCATAGTACTATCTCATTAGATAAAGGTAAAATAGACATTTTAAAACATTTTTATATTATGTACAAAAGAAAAATAGAGGAAGTATACGTTTCAGTGAAAACTTATGTACATCATTCCTGACAATCACTTTTCAGCAACTAGAGTACATATATAGGCAAGTTTTCTCTGTATAGCCCTGGCTGTCCTGGAACTTGCTCTGTACGCCAGGCTGGCCTCAAACTCACAAAGATCTGCCTGCCTCTGCCTCCTGAGTGCTGGGATTAAAGGTGTGCACTACCATTGTGGTGAGCCCACAAGTGTCATACAGTAAATGTACAGCTATTGGAACTATTGGACTTTTCATGGGCTGTATGTACGTACACTCCACACGGAGAACCCGCTTTTGCAGAGTACGGGCACACCTGTTCTTTATCGATTCTGTAAAAATCTTGTGAAATCATTTCCCTCTAGAATATCCCAGCAGTGTATAAATCTGACTTTTCCTGTAGGGCAACTGGATACCTCCGCACACACCATGAAGCCATGGTGTGAAAAGGATTCAGTCAAGTCCTTGTTCTCACAGCCAAAATCTACATAAAAATAGTCCCCAACAAACATTCTTTATTGACAGGAGTCACTGATAAGAAAGGCGCCTCATACAGGAGGTGATACATTTGCTCTAATAGCAGACTCAGGAAGGTGCCATCTACTGGTCTGCTCTGACTTAACAGGTTACTAATATTCTGTACTTGTCCTTTACCTTGGTTTCCACTAGCATAGGATCATAGCCCAGAAAATTAACCGTTTATACAGGAAAATGGCCTGAGTCACTAAAACTAGCTTCAGAGAGAAAAATTCTCACTGGGCACACTGATGGAGTCAAAAGCAAGGTCCCTAGAAGAGATTTCCTTTAACTTAGCCAGCTAGAAACTAATGCAAATCAAGCCCACAGGTTCCCAGTTGCAGGAAAACTTGATGGCCACACCCCCTCTGAGAGGTAAGCTGCCTCCTTGCCAAATCCACCAGTTTCTTGTGACTGTCAAAATGCATGCTTGAGCCGGGCGGTGGTGGCGCACGCCTTTAATCCCAGCACTCGGGAGGCAGAGGCAGGCGGATCTCTGTGAGTTCGAGGCCAGCCTGGTCTACAGAGCTAGTTCCAGGACAGGCTCCAAAACCACAGAGAAACCCTGTCTCGAAAATAAAATGCATGCTTGATACCATTATTACTGCCTATGGGATTGTTAACTAGTCTGTATGCTTATTTAAACTGAAAGCTTTGTGGTGATCATCCCCCACCTTTTTACCCCTTTTCTTACCCTTAGTTTTATCCTTACCCTTATGCCTTATGTCTGATGCCTTGCTCTTAGCCTTATACCCTTACGCTTCTTTTTCCTTCTTTTAGCCTCCCTCAAGGAATAAAGAATCTTGCGGGGAAGGGGGCGTACCTAAGTCAACCAGTTTTTACTTGCCGTAGAAGTCCTATTCTGAACCCTGAGAGGGTGCTGAGGCTGGTACTCAGTAACCATGATATATCACCACCCAGTCACACATATGTTCTTAAAGTGTGATGATAATACATATATTTGCACTAAGACTGTGGAGCCACAGCCACGATCTTTTTGCATCATAAGACAATGCATAATAAACGCTACTTGCTTTTAAACAACAAACTTAATAACATAAATTTAGTAAATACAGCCAAAGGCAATACAATTAAATTGTGCATAGTGTATACAATCAAGCATAGACTGTGTACGTGCTGGTATATGTTCTTTAGTTCCTTCCTCTATGCATATGTTCTATATTAAACTCTATACTTTTGTTCAATGTGGAGTCTTATTTTATGCTCCATTGGGAAGCTGGCTTTTTGTTTAACAGTTTTCTCTATGGTGTCACATTTAAATCATATGTTTAGTGATTATAAAACAATTATGTTATTTATTTTGAGCAACTTTTTGTTCTTTGAGGAAAAAGCAAGTTCTCATCTCTTGTAATAATATCTATCAAGTTACCACACAGTTTATTTAGACGAACGCAGCCATGCATTGACAGCATTGTTCCATCCTGACCCTATGTACCTTACCCCTGGGGTTCTCTATGCTGTAAAGTCACTACATTAAACTGTAAGGATAGCACGCACTCTGATACAATTGTACATAAATATCCATTGTGTTAGAGTTGATTTTTAAAATTTTAATGAGAATTAGCTTGAAAAGTAAGTAAGGTTCACTCCTGCCCCATGTGTCACGTTCGTCTTTTAGATTAACCTGAGAGCACAATACCATCATTTCAGAAGCTGTTATTACCAGCCAAAGTCTACCGCATAACAGTAGGAACATAAAAATGATAGGACTCGGGATGCTAGCACGAGCGTAGGGACAGAGGCAGGTTCTGTTCTTTTTAATTCAAAGTTAAGTAACAAAGCTGTGGCTGAATAACAGACTCAGAACTTTTCACAGTTTCTGGAAATCAGCGGCTCCCCACAATCAAATGTATGCCCAAAGTGTCTCTGAAGCCAAGACTCGTGTTTACTTTAGGCCTGATGGTCTCTTCCTTCATGTGAGCCATGGGTACCATTTTAGGTGCTCTGGATGGTAAAGACACAATGTATGGGTCATTAAGGCACATCAGCCATATGTTGTGGAATGTCACACCTCATATCCAAGAGGTACTCAAACTGCTTATTAAAACTGCAGCACTCAATGCACATTAATTCTTATATTATAATAATATAAACTACATCTCAGGGAATATGCTCTGACCTTTAGGTATAAAGATGAGTAACAGATTCTAAATTCCTCACCACAAAGCTCAAATTCTATAATGAAGTGGACAACAAGAATTAGAAAGCTGTTGTAACAGAGAGTATGTTAGGTACCTAGCTAAGCTGTGTTCGTTGAGGAATGGCACAAATGGATAGCTATATAAATAAGGGGGAAAATCAACGTGGGGGAACAGGACACAAAGCATGGATCTTCCCACTAATGGGCAGCTAGGGAGGTCTTCCCAAAGGAAGCTAACTCTTTAACCTGAGGTCTAAGAAGTTATGCTAGCAAATAGGAGAAGGTGTGCTCAAAGCAGAGATCATTTCGGGAAGTCTGAAGGGCAGGGCTACCACATAGACCCCTGTTCTGGGAACTAACAGTGATTGGGTTAATTGTAAAAAGATTGGGTTAAAAGTTTCAGAAGCAACTCTAGTTATGGAATTAAAGACAGAATATACTTCACAAATCTTTTTTTTTTTTTTCCTATTTTCCTTAGATACAGTGTCGCTATGTAGCTCAGGTTGGCCTAGAATTTGTGATCCTTTTGATTCAGGTTCCTTGGTGCTGGAAACAAATGTGTACCACAACACCAGTTTAAACCTTCCCTTTGGGTGCCATAAAGGATTTAAGGTGCCAAAGACTGTGGAATCAATCTGTTGTCTGTAACATGATTACGAAGGACCCATCCCAGATTTGTCTGGAGTGTTGTGATCCCCTATCCCATCTGATGGTTCATTTAGGTTGACTTTCTATGAGGTTGATCTAGTTGCCCTGTAAATATCAGCTAGCCTAGAGAATATGAGTATACCTTTTAAATCATAAATCCATAGGAAATGGTTCTTCCCTATTGAAATTTTGTAAAATGGAGGCTAACACTAAAGTCACAGCCCAAAAGCATGTTAACATGAAAACACATAGTCAGTCTTCATTTGGGTAAGAAGTAATGGAGACCACAGAGGAACAGAGCAAATTATCAAGAACTACCCTATGTGATCCAGTGCCCCTCCTATCACAGTCTACCCTTAAATTCACCCCCCGAGTTTCCAGTGGATTATTCTGGGGCAGTGATTTGATTTCATGGTGGCTTCTAACACTTAAAAAAAGAAATATTTGTTTTTAAGCTACTTTACAAATTAAAGAAATTTCTGAATGTTTTTGTAGTAAATTGGAAGAGTCTATAAAATAAAAAAGTGAAAAAACTTTTCTTCTTAGGTGCTTTTAAAAATCAGGGTATCATTTTTCTCTGAAGTTTAAATTATTATCTATACCATGATTACAGAAACTACTCATGTGAAATCATTAGAAAGAAATGGTTCCTGGAGGGACTGACTGTAGTGTAGTTGGTATTTTATTATTTTACTTTAAATGTTAAAGCCATCTGTGGTTGCAGTATGGACCAATTAAACTTTCTGTTTCTGTCTCTGTCTTTAGCTGCTGTCTATCTGCCTCTCTCTTCTATAATATACTTCAGACAGCAGTTAGGAGCTACAGTTATGTTAAAATAGTGGTCTAATGCATCCCAAAGAAAGCGACTTTACTGCTTAGTGTTTGACTCTGGGACATATCTGTCAGGACAGCTTCTGTGCTCCCTGTCAATGCCTCTCTTGTCTCCAGCAATGGAGGGACTTCCCGAGGAAAAGCCCGCTGTTAGAGATTACAGTCTATCATAGATAAGGCCATTTCTTGTCGCCTTGCAAGACTGAACATATTTAAAAACATTTTTAATGTTAAATAACAATTGTGAGGGTTTTTTTTCAAAAAAAAAAGTTAATAAAAACTGGTTTTACAGCTTTAACCTACAAAATACTGCCTACAGATTTTTATATGTTCTTTGGAATTTTAGCTCGCAAATGATCTAATCTTTTCTTTTCAATAAGCAAATATGGTTTCAGGAAAACTTAAACATGCAAATAATAAATTAATACACATATCAATATAATATTAATAATTTAATAAATATAAATATGAATACATTAATACTATGGCATAAACATGTCATAATATATAAACATATATAAATATAATATAAATATATACATTAATAAATAGAAATGTTGGTGTTGTTTCTATTAAGAGCTAGAAACATTGGTGTCCCTGTTTTCCTATATTGGCAAAAGTGTTGCTTTTAGATACGAGAGGTGATGAAAGATTCATTTCAAATCTTCTTTCCATCTCGTAGGCGAATTCTGCAGAGAAACTTAGGGAATATGGGCTTTCTCACATCTGTAGCCACCCCGTGCTGGTGACCAGAAGTAGGTCTTGTCCCCTTGTGGCACCCCCCAAACCTCCTCCCTTACCTCCCTGGAAACTCATTCGCCAAAAAAAGGAAACGGTCATAACGGATGAAGCTCAAGGTATGCGCCCCTGGCCTTACAGTTTAATTTATACTTCTCTGGGGCTTCCCAATGTCTCACATGGAGAATGGTATGTTCGGAGGTAAGCCACGCAGCCCTGCACCCAAAGCTACTTGACCCATGTCCAAATTATGCATCTAAAACTTCAAGTATGTGTACTGTATTTGGTCCGGTGGATCCATAGTGACAGTGGACTACACTAGGGTTCATCTTTCTTTTTTCTATTGGGCTTAATATGTAAAGTAAAAAAAAATAGCAAAAATGGGAAGAGAGTTCAACTCTGAAGGATAGTGGGACGTGGCTAACTACCTGAGCTTGTTTCTTTTCTCGTTTATCTTCAGAGTTCACTGAGGTGATGTGTGCTACTCTCCTTTCTCATTGGCAATTTCTTGCTTCTAAACTAACTTAACACTTACGCATACCCACAAACCCGCTATTTTCTTGCTATTCCTAGCACTTCCTGCTTCTTCTTCCACTATAGTCCCGTAGTCCCGTGAACAGCTCACATTCCTCAGCACGTCCTACGTGGTTGTGCCGAGGAGGTTAATTGAGGGACACTTTTCTTTTTTAAAGAAAAAATTGATATGGAAAGTCACCATTAAAGTATTAGCAAATACAAAGACTTGTCTGTCTTTCACCATTTGAGTTCTTACTGTTCTACTGCATAAAAGAAACTGGCTATAGAAAAGGAAAGCTAACGTTGGCAAGATCTGCAAACCGTTTCACTTAAAAATGTCTCTGTTCATTCCTGTTTTTTTTTTGTTTGTTTGTTTTTTTGTTTTTTGAGACAGGGTTTCTCTGTGGTTTTGGAGCCTGTCCTGGAACTAGCTCTGTAGACCAGGCTGGTCTCGAACTCACAGAGATCCGCCTGCCTCTGTCTCCCAAGTGCTGGGATTAAAGGCGTGCGCCACCACCGCCTGGCTTTGTTCATTCCTGTTTAACTCTATTGAAACCCCTGGGTAAACACGTCCTCTAACCAGCACTGCTTAGAATCTGAAAGATTCTGGCAGTGTACATCTCACTTCCCCACTGGAACTTTTCAGATACTGTACCGAAGAAGCCTGAGCAGTTTCTTGAGATTTCAAGTCCATTTTTGAACTACAGAATGACTCCATTTACGATTCCAACAGAAACGTAAGTATGTGACATTCTCTTCAGTGTGTCTGTGACGTCTGTGGCTAAAAATCACACTTACTGGAAAGAATGCCTGAAGACCACTGAGGCCAAATATATATGCTTATCCTCACAGTCTATTGACTGGGATGCCTTATAGCTCATTCTTACATAATTTTATTTACATTTTTATGTATGGCTATTATAGTTTAGAAGTTTTATATCCCTCCAAATGAAATTCTAACCCTCAGGTGATTGGGTTTGTTAGAAATGAATTTTAAAGATGTTACATGGGTTATATGGTGAAATAGGTTAAAAGTTACATATGTTTAAATGGGTTAAAGGTTGTATGGGATGCTGATCTGATAACTTCTGCCTGTGGGAAGATTTTATGAGCTTCTAGTCTTATTGATAAACTAAATGTATGGATACAGAATGCCTGCAAGCAGAAGTCTTATTTAGAAAAGGAAGCAAAAATGTGCATGACTATTGTACTAAAGACGTCCCAGATATGGTGAACTGCACAAGATAAAAATAGTCAAAATCACCCTGTGGGTAAGAGAGGCTCACCAAACCCCATCCGTAGTTGAGGAGCTATTTATTGGCTATTGATTGTCGAGGGAGAGAAAGTCATTTTTCTTTGTTGGTGTGAACTCTGGTGGGTTGCCCGAGCAGATAGCCCCACAGCCATACACATGAACAGTGATTATTGGACTCAGTGGGTTGTCAACAAAAAGAAGGAGCATAAAGTTTTGAGGGGGATCTTTCTAGGTGCATGGAGGAGGGCAGTGGAGGTAAATATAATCAAAATGCTTTCCACGAGTGTATGAAATTCCCAAAGAGTAAGATTAAGTGTGCACGCTAGAAAACAGGATAACGGAAGTCAATATCCTCTTAAATGTTCCCTTGGTCCCAGGAGCATTGGTCATAGAATGGCCGTTTCCAGAACAAGTTTGCAGGAATGCACATGCCCTAGGGTTCTTTGGCTAGAAGTGGTTTTGGATGTCTGCAAGCAGGCTAGCTTCCCGTTTGGTCTGAACACAAGAGATCTCATGAGCAGCAGAGGGAGTTTAATGATGGGTTGTCTATTGCCCTTGGCTCCTGATGCCCTGCCTAGAAATTCTTTCTCACTCACTACTCCCAAAATTCTAGAACACAAAAATAATCCATCCACTTTGTAGCAGTAACAGCCTTTCTCTTATTGTCCAGTAGCATCTCATTTTTATTTGAGACTTTAACATTTTGGTAAGAATTCTCTTTATCCCCCCTCCCATATTTGCACTGAAATAATCTTGAAAATCACTTACATATTCCTTGAAATTAGAATTTCCTCTACACTTTCCTGTTCTTTATGGTATAGTACCAAACTAATTTTAACAAAACAGCAATGTAGGCATTTAATAAAGTTCCTTAAAACTCTTCTAACCTCTACTCAGCTCCAAAATGATGTCCACTGCTTTAGATGGGCAACAGCCAGATTCTGGGTATCCATTTTCTGTTTGAGTGTGAACTGTGGAAACAAAATGTCATAGACCTGTGGATTGTAAGTGGCAAGAGTATATCTTGGTCCTGGGAGCTGGGGATTCAAGATCAAGACCCCAGTTTATCTACTGTGTAGAAAGACCCATTTCCTTATGCAGGCTTCTTTCTGCCTCCTTGTGTGCAAGAAGCGGCACAAACTCCCTAGAACCCTGCTGCCCAGAGCACCAGTCTCACTCATGAGGACTTTGCTTTCATCCTAAAGGCCTCCAAAGGTCCATGCCTACTACTGTTGCCTCAGGGCTGAGGTTGAACACAGGAACTTAACTTTCAGGTGTACTCCCATTCAGAGCACAGGACTTCCTGCCCTCTTTGTGAAGCCATGTGCCCAGCTCTTCTCCAAGAGGACAACCTGTGGAGCTATTACAGTTTGGTTTTGGCTTTTATGCCCTTTCTGTATGAGAAACTCTCAAGTATCTATTTCTACACCTTCCTCTTACTGTTAGGTTTCTAGATATGAAAGAATATTGTGTAATTTATTTTTCATCCCCTCTGCATTTTCAGTTGAATATAAGGTTTATATCAATACTGTAAAATTTTGATACTTAACACACTACTAAGGATTTGACAAGTGCCTATACTCAGTACATATTGAATAAAAAAAATTTTGAGGCATCTGAGTCATACAGAAACGTTTTGGTATCTTCTAATTTGATAGTTGTAGTCACATGTACTTGGCTTAATTGGGTACTTTTAAAAATATTTTAAATTTTGAAAATATTTATAAGAGCATTTAATAAGAGAAATTAAGAAATTGTCTTTCCCAGGAAAGAGTCCCCCCACTCCAAAGGTTATCTAAAATCAAGTGGTCAGCCTAGAAATCATATAGAGAAAATAACATTATATGAACTGAGCAGGTTGTACTTATATATTCAGGAATACATATGCGCATATTTATGCATACATGTGACATGTTGGGGGACCAGGCTAGACAAAAATATCTTTTGCTAAGGTAGAGGCATGGGGATTTAGAAAATATTAATAAAGAATATGAAGACACAAATGAAAATAATAAAACAGAGAAACATATAGAATAATATTAAGAGGGAGTTCCAGTGAGTACTGGAATTCATCCACATTTAATTTCCAATTGCTTTAAATACCCCTGATCTCAAAAGGCAGAAGTAAGACAAAAAAACAGCATTAAACAGCATTAACATGATACAAGGAAATGAACATACCAATTGAAGGTCACATGTTACAACCATAGTTAAACATTCTGTTGCTAGAACAAAACAAGTCACAAGTCACTCTCATACCCTAGACCAAAATATTCTGTAGGCAAGCCACTCCCTGGGTGGAATCCAAAGTTATCTCCTTAAGGGAACTGGAACTTAAATTGGATCCATAGAGTTTTGTTTGAGGTAGAAACATATCTACTTCTCTATTCCTGAAATACAAGGTCTGGCTCTTAGCCATAACTGTTGATTATAACCTTGAGAGAGCAGAACTCTCTGACTAAATCTAGGTGGGACCTTTGTTTGAGGTAGAAGCACGATAACCTTGAAGGACTAGAAGTAAGTTCAAACTCTCTGACCTTTGGTCAATGAGGAAACAGGATCACATTTTTGGGCCTCCACAGTGATGTGAATTTGAGAGAGAACATGGGCCAAGCACCTACAGTCAGGAAGCAAAAGAGATCAAATGGATACTAGTGCTCAACCTCTTTCTCCTTTCATTCAGTCTAGGACCCCAGCATGTGAACTGATGCTGCCCTCAGTGATAGCACCTCAGTTTAACCCAATCTAGGAATCCTCACAGACATACCCAGAGTTTTTCCTTGGTGGTTCTAGATCCTGTCAAGTTGACAATATTACTTATCAGAGACTGTGGTAGATGTATATGCTCTCTGATATACCTCAGTCTTTTCTGGGATATGCCATGAACTGTAACCATGATAGAAATAAAGACTGACAAGAAAAACAGCTGTTATAATTTAAATGCCCAACTCGGTGTACTTTGTACTGTTAGGCACTCTTTATACCAAAGCCAGTTAATAAGTTAACTTACACTGTCTTACTCTGGTTAAGTTTAATACATTAGACACTTTTTTAAATTAATTAGCTCACACTGTCTTAATCTGTTTAATTTTAAAATATTAGGCACATTCTTGACATCTTTTACTCTTTCTTGTGTTTCTGTCATGTTGGGGGAGTTGTATACTTTTGTTTTTTTCTTTTTTTTCTTTTAATTAATGTTTCATAGTTTTCCAATTATTTTTATACTGAAAGTTCTCCAGAGAAAGCTAACCAGCATGTTTATGACTAGATGATAGCAGGAGCAATGGTATAGAAGCCTGGTAACTCTGTAGATGACAAGGTATTTCTGGGAAGTATCAGTGACGTAGTAGTAGAGAAGTCTTAAGAGAGACCACTTGCATTTAGAGAACTAGGGAAGCCATTAGTGAAGCTATCCAAGTCTGAAGCTTTAGAAGTACAGAAAGCAGAATCATGGTGTCCATTTAGCTGAAGGATCAGGGGTGCTGCTATAGAAGTCCTGGAGTTCAAAGAGCAGAGACCATGGGGTTGTGATGTCCATGAGCAGGGACAAAATAATCTATGACCATAATTCTTCACCTTCCTAATGCTGGGACCCTTAAACAGTTCCTCATGTTATGGTGACTCTAACATTATTTCATTGTTTCAAAACTGTAATTTTGCTACTGGTATAAATTATAATGTAATGTAAATATCTGATAAGTAGGATATTTGATATGTGATATGCAAAATATTTGATACAGGGTCTCAACCCTCTGGTTGAGAGCCACTGGTCTAGGCACAAGAAATTAAAGTCATTTTCCCTCAGTTGTTGTGTGCCACACAGGCCTACTGCTGATTGGACAGTGCCTGCCTACACTGAGAGCAGAACTTTCCCACTCAGTCCACTGATGCCCAAGTTCATCTCCTTCAGAAGTCCTCTCCCAGACACACCCAGAAGTGATACTTTACCAGTTACCTAGGCACGCCTTAGTTCAGTCCAATTGATGCTGGACATTGTTCAGCATATCTAAGATTTCAATTTGCCATTCAGATATAT